CATTTTATATAATTTTTAAGCCTATTTTGTCAAATTATAAGTAACTATTTAAGTAACTATTTGGGCTGTTTTTCGTAACTATTATAGTGACTATTGGGGGTCTTATATTCACCTATAATGCAATGCTCTGATTATTACATTAGACATTAAGAATTCATTAGATGTCTTCTGAAATTTATATATTTTTCTATTTTTAACACACATTTTATTTTGAAAATAAACTATTGTTTTGTCTTTTGTTTTGAATTTTAGATAAAATTTTTTAGTTTTTATTTCAAAGGAAAAATATTTTGTTTTTTATTTGTTTTTCAAAACAATTAATTGTTTTATTTTGAGATAAATTATAAAATTTAATATTAATTCTTGATTATATTAGTTTTTAAAAACTTTTATTTTAATTTCAAATATTATATATACATATTTAAACACAATACATCTCTTAATGACAATTTTGTATTATCCCTATAGCAATATTTTACAGATGATACATTTTCTATCGCATAACATTAACATGGTATAATAAAAAGTCCATTAAATACATTATATTTATTGGCACGTAATGAAACGATATGAGTGTTGGACTGCAACACCCGGGGCCCGACCGGTGCGGGTATACACTGTAGGACTTAAACCAGGGGGCGATTTGGTTAATATCAATGTTAGGCAAAACCATATGCATCGGATCAAAGGGCAGGAAACGGGCCATTTGGCTATCATCACGACTATCACCTAGGGTGAAATAAAATAAAAATAAAATATAAACTTTTTTCAGAAGTTATCCAATTATATTTACATAGCCAATACTTATAAGATATCTAGTTCAGTTTTTATTTATATTACAGTTTAAAATATAAAATTTATTTCAATGAAATTAAAATTATAATGTAAATATATTTAAGATTATTATGTTTATTTAAAAAACAAACTTAATTAATTATTAATTATTCAGCTACACATTAAAAACATAATCTATCTCACCTGCAGTAACACCAATATGCTGCAAACATTTGCCCATTTCCAGGTCCTCGACACCGGTGTCAGTTCCAGCCAAACACTGACTACTGTCGGTAAAATTACCGATACCGGCCGTAACAAACTGTCTGACAGCGGCCCGGCTCAGCACATAGCCGGCCCCACCGCTCATGTATACCACGTCCCGGTACTGTAGTTTGCAGCCAAAGTACAGGGGCTCGTGAGGCTGGTGTTGAGCTAAAAAATGGCGTAAATTCTCCATGATCACGTAGGAATCATCATCCGCTTTTAGGAACCAGTCGTAATCATCTATGTATTTATCGTATATGTACCGCATACCTTCTTTAGTCTAGTGAAAGCGTGTGGTAAAATAATAATTAATTTTAATAAATCTAAAATTATTACTATTTATTAGCTAAATATCAGTTAAATTAATAAATATATAAGTTTGTAATTTATATTGTGAGTTTAACTATTTAAATGAGATTTATCTTTTTAGTAAATATAACTTGATTAATTCTTAATGTCTTTCCAAAAAAATAATATGATATCAGTTAACATTTATTTATTTATCGATGGGCCAGGTACATCCCAATAGATTAACTTGTCACAAATAGCTTTAAATCCAAAAATAAATGTACAATTATTGAGTTACAGTTTATATCAATATGAAATTATTATCATCATTAATCAATATAAGACATTATTCAAATATGCATACTTTGCACCAGAGGTGAGGCCTATCGTCGGTATCGCACAGCCGTACGGCCGGTAGACTCGCGTTGTCTCGGGAGCTGAGAAAGAGGTGCCGATCGCACCGTTTGGCCCAAGTGTTGCGCACGTGTATGGCTTTGGACTCGTGGTTGGCGTATGTCGTGGTTATCATACAGAATATTCTCGGCTTTGACTGTATTTCCGATGTTTTGTTGTGTAGTTTTACGTGATTTACACGTATGTGTTGAGCACTTTTATCACGTTTATTATAATTGTTGTATAGACTATTACCGCTATTATATACAATTAATTTTAATGTTATTATAAACGATAGCAATGCCATTGATATGACAATTATTTGCAAATGTTTTTTCTTATTGTTAAATAAGATTTGAATTTTTGATACAAAAAACATAATTATTTTTGTTGTAAAACACAAATAATTTAAATTAAATTTAAAAATTATTGTAAGTATTTATTATAACAAATGCTAAACATTTAAGATTTACAAAATCATCGCACAATGTAAAGATATTTACGACAAACATAAAGTATTTGTGATTATCTATAAATATAAATGAACATGATTTAGCAAAAACACAAAAATAATAAACTAAAATATTTTGAAAATATATAAATATTTCAATCTATATAAATTAATAGATAATTATTTTTGGCAACAAAACATCGTAAGACTAAACAAAGACTGACGGTATTAAACATGTTATACAAACAACTAAATACAAATACACACATAAAAACTCACCCTTTGCTAATTGTTTACTGAATTATTAACAAACTTTTTAAAAGTTTATTTTTTTCTCAAAACATTAAATATTTTTAGATAAGACTTTAGAGATAAGCGAAACATTTATAACGTATACAATATATTGTGAATGTATTGTGTTTTTTGAAAGTCAATGAGAAAACAACAACAGATATCTTAATGGCTAAGAAAAAAGTTATATTTTTTCAGTGTATTGTTTATGAGTTTAAAAAAGCTTAAGGTAAAAAAACTAGAGTGCAATCAAAGTGATCATCATTTAACTAAAATATCTACGTGTGTTTAATTAGCCGTTCATTTGAGTTCATTATATAGAAGTTACATAATAATGGAGAGCAAAACAAAACCGGTAGAAAATACAGGCATAACTAAATTATAACACGATTTAACATTAAAACAAAACATATTATAACGCTATTTGTAAATCGGATTTGAATTATAATCATAACAATCGTATTGTGAAAACGCATTGGTTTTCATACATTAAAAAGTCATTTATTTGTAAAGTTTTGAAAAATGATTTTTTTGCTACTTTTTGTCGGAAAAAAGTTTCTGCACTAAAATTAATATTTTCTATTCACTAATAATAGTGTAGACACTATCTTATGGCTTATGATAATCTAATAGTGTACTGTTCATCAGTGTATTGATAATTATTACCCCGTTGTATTTTTGTTTTGTGCATTTCTCTATACTGTATGTACAGTACAGTAAACTTTATATACCGGTATTGTCTATGGCATAGACTCTTTGCTATACATTATGCATAATATACCGTAGATATAGTGTATAATTTTATTCATACACTAATGGGAAAATAATACACAATATTAGATAATATACTGTATATAATATATACAGTGAACGATAAGAGATTTGTCTCGTAATGTAATTTTAATACAAACTACTGTATACTTCCGTAGTATATATTCCTTGTATAGTCTACTTGTATATTGCTATTTATAATGAAGTTAGATTAACATTTAATTCCAATCATGTTCATTTTGTACATTATTGGTATGTACTTTAAGTGTATTAATTATAGGCGTTGATAATCATAACTAATCGTTAAGGTATTATAAATTGTTTTTGTTTGTTGTCTAACAATTTATTTTTTATGTTTTACAAATAGTGTACAAAACTAATTAATACGTAAAGGGGGAAAACTTGACATATATTTTACACATGGTTAGTTACACAGCCAATAGACAATAAACTATATAGTTTTAGTCAATATAAGTTAACATTTGCTTTAATTTTGGTGATATATTTCTATCGGCAATAATTTTTATATTGATTTCAACGGTGTGTTAATGTATTGACAGCTAATTTACATAGTATTCAATATATTCATTGCCGTACATTCAATATACACTATAACTTATAGTCTATAAGTGCTGTTCATTTTAAATGTCATTTTACGTATAAATAGTTTTTTGGGTTTTGACATATAATTATGTCATTTCCTAAACCGTATACAACATATAATTACATGAAATGATTGCAACATAAGTTAACAATTGATTTCTTATGTTAAATGTCTATGACTTTCACTACGAAAAAGTAAAATTTTATTTTAAATTGTTTATCGACTATAACGGAGTGTTTTACTGATCATAGACCCCATGCATTACTATCAATATGAGCTAGATTATATTTTTGAACACTATAAAGTACAGTTATTATTTCATAAAGTATATTGTATGCCTGATATATCAATACTGTATCGATAATACATTATTAGATATAAAAAACTATTATATAAATTGCGAATTAAGTTAAGATTAATAAATCTAAAAACAATATCTGGTATAAAATCAATGTTAAAGTATTTAATTAAAAGTCTAATTATAATTAGGAAAAATGCACATAAAAGATATAATAGAAATAAAAACTAAAAAGTAAAATATTTTTGTATACAAAAATGGGATCAACAATCGGTTGACTGACTATTTTTGTCGGTCTATAAGACATTTTCAATGATAATAAACACAATACACATACATATGATTGTCGCACAAAAAATATAACATAAAATACAATACAATTTCATTATTATTTTGTTGTAAAATAATTATTTTTTGTTGGGTTTCCTTTAGAAAAATACTTTATTTTATAATATAAAATGCATATATTATGCCAATAATTATATACGATATACACTATTATAGCCTACATTAATGGCAAACAATATCATAAGTCTAACGAAAAACATATTAGAAAAATAATTTTGTATTTTTCCCATTTTTCTTAACAAAAAATTATTTCTTAAAAAATCATTAGAAATATACAGTTATTGTAGTTTTGGCCTCCGTTTTATACAGTTTAGTTTAATTCACCAACATCACTATATTATAACATTTAATATATTAATATACTTGTATATAACGTATGTACAAAACTATTGATTTTTCAAGTGCTATATTATTTGATGTATTAAAATGTGTTATATAAGTGGGAAATAGATAAAGCATATTGATCCTTTGTGTTATTATTTAGCATAATTACATATAAAATAATTCATGGTGGTCATTATTAATTTTACCATCATAATGTTTTATCATAATAACGGGATCTTAATGATTAGTTTGTGAGCATTTTGTTTTTAGGCTAGTTTTTTCCTGTAGTTTATGTTATTAAATAATTTTTATCATGAAATATTATTTATTTATTTATAATATTTCTTATCTATGGCATATAATCTACTAGTAAAACCATGAATGTCATTTGAATTTAGGCATAATTTACATTAATGCCATTTCAAACGCTTATTAATACATCGGATAATTAATAGCCAAATGCAAAAATTGATGATTTCGTGCGATATATTTATTGTACAAAATATACGACAATATAATTCGTTATAATTTGTATTTTTCTAGATATTAATATTAATTTCGCATAATATCATAAGTAAATAAAAGTATTATTATTACAACTGTGTACACTGTATATACTGGAAAAACAAACATTGTTGAATTTATGCGAAGTTAGTTATAATAAAGTTATTAAAATTTCCATATTGTAGTTATAGTGTGTTTTAATAGTCATTAAACACAATACTAATAATATTAAAACAATGTTATTATAGTGTAAAAAGCGTGTGTAAATACAGCCTTAACCAAAAAATTACCCGGATACTATTAAACTTGTGATATATCAACCAAAAAACAACAGCACAAAAAGCATCATGGGCATTTCCTATCGGATATACGTCGAGCTCCGGTTTGCCTTTGAGATGGTGTGCGAAATGATCCGCAATTCCCTGCGATGGACACCATTTGGTCCCAAAAAGTTTGTCAATTTGCCCAAAACAATGGCCGGACAGGTGGTGGTCATCACCGGTGCCAACACCGGCATTGGCAAAGTCAACGCCACCTTATTTGCCCGGCTGGGCGCTAAAGTAACTAGCGTTAATTTTATATTACTGTTGCTGTTTTAACAAGTTATAAACATGTTTAACATGTGTGATCACATCGGCACAGGTAGTGATGGCCTGTCGAGACACGGCTAAGGCACACATAGCGGCCGATGACATACGCAAACAGGTGGCCACAGCGGCCGGTGCCGACGGGTCCGGTCGACCGGCCCCTACCGCCGATGTGCTGGTCCTGAAGCTAGACCTGTCATCCCTGGCCTCTGTCCGCCAGTTTGTGAGAGAGTTGGCGGGAGAGGTGGATAGGGTTGATATACTGGTCAATAACGCGGGTCTCATGTTTTGTCCCAATTGGCGCACTGAGGATGGGTTTGAGATGCAATTGGGTACTAATCATATGGGTATGCATTTTTTGGTTGTATGTTTTATGGTCATATTAGTTAGGGTCTCTCTCTCTCTCTCTCTCTCTCTCTCATAATTATTACTGTAATTTTTATATAAACTGTTAATTAATAATTATTTTTAAATTGCCATATTTTTAAAATCTAGAAGTTTTATAATTGGGACTTCACTACACATGTGATTCATTCATATAAGTTAATTGCTTTCCATATTTTGCTCTCTCTCTCTCTCTCTCTCTCTCTCTCTCTCTCT